AATGGAATTTTTCCTTCAACATTTTCATCACTCTTTCCTCCTCCTCTTGCTGTTCTTTCAGTCTCCGGTATTCTTCAACTTTTCTTCTCTCTTCTTTCAATGTGTTCTCTAATTGTCTGATGTTTTCCTCCATCACATCCACAGACAATTGTGGTTCTCTCCTTTCAACCGTTTTTTCTTTCTTTCCTGGTCTAATTTTTCAAGGCTCTCGGCGACGTACCGATCAAGGACTAGCCGTCCTTGCCTTATGAGGTTTTCAACCCTTTTGCCTGTCTCCATCATCTGAACAACAGTTTCAGCGGTCTGCAGGTCTCTCTCTGCATCAAGCAGATTGACCTTTCCGTCAACATGTTGTTCAACATCTGGAACGGCACGATGTATTTCACCGAGCAGCTGGCGGAGGAGACCCAACAGAGTCTGTCTCCTTCCATCAATCTGACCGCGAGTTTTCAGTTTCACTCCCTCTTCATCGGCAAAGAATGTGAGAGGGATGGGAAAGAAGAAGAGCGGTATGAACCGGGTCAAGATAGAGGCACGCAAACACTTCCAAAGAGAGTTCATTCTGCCAAGCATGCAAATGTCGTACAATAAAAAAAANCAAGGGTTTGTGAGGAGGCCGTTCATGAATGGTGCGAATAGAAGGACGAGAGCGAGTGCGTGGGGGGACATGACAAGTATTTTGTGTTGAGACTCCAAGAATGCTGCGAAGAGCTGGAGGAGACTTGTGGGCTTTCAACACATAGTATAGGTAAGGCAGGGTATCAGTGTGGGTATAACCCCAATGGTGATTCCATAGTGCATGGTGGTTGAGCACATCAGCGACAGATTCATGAAAAACAAAAAAAAAATCCACGACGCACGCTACACTTACAGCAAGAATTGTTGAAGGCAAATACGAAGAAACCAGGGCTGGTCCCCGGATGGACCGGGGACCCCTACCCCATCCGCAGTCCTTCCGGTTGGACCGGCCGGTGGCCCGGGCCGGTTCCCTCCCGGTTGCCCGCAACGCATTTTCGTTGGGGGCTGAAATTTTTTTTTTGTCGCCGCGTATGTGTTCCCGAGGCCTCGTGGGGGTGGGCCCTGCCCCGCAATTTCGAAATCGGGTCCTGTAGGCCCGGATTTTTCAAGTACAGAAAGTGGCCAATCTTGGCCGCTGATCGTCGCAGATCAGCGGCAAAGATCGGCCAGGATCCCATTTCTATAAGAAAAACGGCCAGAGGATCTACGCCACTGATCTGTGCAGATCAGCAGCGGAGAACAGCCATGCGTTTTTCCTAAGATGTGGGTCGGGTAGGCCCCTAATYGAATTTGTCATCTTGTGGTCCGATGGACCAGTTACCATTGGCAACATCTGATGCTCTTTCACCCTCAGCCACGAGGGGAACACTACGCTTCTGATGAGACTCTGCTGAGATTATATCCTTCTGCGACGTCCCTTCCATCTGTGGAAAAAGTTATGGGTTCGTATTTTGGAATTGTGATTTCAGAGCCGTCCGAGGTGCAATCCCAAGAATGGACCTAAGCTATAGGGCGTTGCTGCACTACTCTCGACATGCACAAAAGACAAAAATCTTGGCGGTGTATCTTTCCGAATTCTAGCGGAAGATTCACTCTCGTTTTGCACATTTCGAGAGTAGTGCATCGAGGCCCATATTCTTCTCTCTATCTATCACGAATGGACCTTGCTCCACCACATGTATCTGGACAGACTGCCAGACAAGATACTTCCGGACTGACAACTCACCTTATGTAGGAACCAACAAACAGAAAACGCTCTGCCTCCACGAGCAGAAAGCTGAAACCATAATTTTTCTGCTGTCGAAATATACTCTGGAAGAGCTATAATTTCGGGCAAGGACCTCCTCTCATCATATCTGGTTCAGCTCGTGGGGTATCAATATCAAATGACATACTCCACGAAGTGCTCTAGTGACGGGGGGGTCGGATAAGTGAACTTGCTTACTTGACCCCTTCCTGAGGAAGCCGTAGTTGCCTGAATATGTAACCCCCTGCCCCCCTCTGGAAGCCCCTTGAAAAATGTTGTATTCGGACAACTCTTGAAGAGCGCAGTCGGAATCTACCCAAAAAAAAAAAAAAAAAGATATTTGGGCACTTTTTTTCCAAAACCGATTTCCCGGTTCACCCCCCCTGGTCTGGTCTGGCTCCGGTTGGACCGGGGTAGCTCAACCGGCCGGTTGCCGGCCCAACACTGAAAGAAACAGATATTATCAATTTTCTAATGCTATTTTGCTGTCTGATTTTCCTAATCTGTGTGATGACGTTCTACCGTATGTGTGCAGGTACCGCAGCCACGGCCAGCGTGATCAAGACATCAGCACACAGGTGAGTATGCAAGGACACGACAGAACAGCCAACAGGTAAGTAGGAAACCAACACAACAATCACAAACAATTGTCAGCCTCCTCTCTCTATAGCTGTACTGCCTGTAGCGACCAACACATTCGACAACTCACCCAACACATGCCACGTGTCACCCCTGGCATGCCAACACAGCAGCTCGTTGGAGTCTGCCACGTCAACACATCAAGAACCTGGAGGTGTACAAGGGGGATGCCACGTCAGCAATGTGTGCTTGTCACACGCATACACTGGCATGCCACGTCAATGCCCAATCAGCAGGTAATCACGGCACAGCTACGTGCCACGTTAGACCATACCCTGCCAAGAAACGATATGCCACATCAACGGTACCAATGCTACGTCAGCCTGTTGCCAACGCAGCTCTTCAAGCTTCAGCGTAGCCTTGTCATCATCTTCAAGGGACGTTTGCTCGCAAGTGCACTACTACCATGTCTAGACTTGCGGTATGACCGCGCGCGTTAATAAACGCGTTTCATATTGCACTTGCGGCACCTCCTACTTACCTGGGTGCCACGTCAGCACCTGACAACTGACAGCAGATCGCGATGAAGAGTTGCTCTGATACCAAATTGTAATGAACCCAGATCGTGAGAACAGTCATCAACAATGCAAGTCCAGATAAATGTCAACAGCTGATGAGTACCAATAATCAAGATCGTGTCCAGACAGAATAAGACGAGATAAACATACACAGACGAAGAAGAGAGGAGGGAGATTAGACAAAGGAGAGGAAAATACAATGCCCACTCCTGCTTCGGGCTCCCTCCTCCAACACCACTTCAATAATCAAGAGTCTGAACGAGTATCTGAAGTAACCTCAAGGTGCCACAGGGCACATCTAATTAGTTCCTCATCAGCTCTGGAGCAATATCGACATGAAGACAATCAGGTACGTAGTCACGATCCCTCCACAATCCTGATCTTCCTCTTCTTCGCAACCAGTCACCTCATGTAGACAGCGTGGACAATGCCACGTCAGCAATCAAGACAGGTGGTGAAATGCCACATCATCAATGAAGACCAATATCAACGCCACGTAGACCAGAAACAGCGCCACATAGCACAGAGGCAGCGCCACATATACCAGCGGCAGCGCCACGTCAGCATGCCACGTAGACCATAGGCAGCGCCACATACACCAGAGGCAGCGCCACGTCAGCATGCCACGTAGACCATAGGCAGC